AAGAGAAGAGAAGAGAAGAGAAGAGAAGAGAAGAGAAGAAAAGAAAAGAAAAGAAAAGAAAAGAAAAGAAAAGAAAAGAAAAGAAAAAGAAAAGAAAGTCAATGACAGAGTCCTGCCTAGATCCCTGAGAAGGGAGTTTGGCTTTGATGACACTTTGATAACTTCTAACCATGAACTTCAAGTTTCGTCTCACCTTCTTTTTGAGTCTGCAAAAGACATTTAGCACACATGTGCTCTACTAAGAAGTTTCAAGTCCCTAATACAGTGCTATTAGTTATAAGCCTCATGTTATTCAATAATACCTGTGTAACCAAAACCCTGTACATGTGACTAGGACTTGGTTCTTTGCCCTCTTGCCCTGCCTCTGCCCTGGCAACCAATACCTTACTCTCTGATTCTAATGACTGGGACTATTCTAGAGTCATCACGTTAGTAGGATCACATAGTGTTTGTGCTTCAGTATCTGCATTACACTTAGCACAGCGCCCTCTTTTGGTAGACAGGAAAATCAGTATCTAACCCATTCAAAGTCACAAACTAGTCAAGCAGCAGAATGAGGAAATTATTAAGTACATAAGCAATGAGATAAAACTGAGCACAAGAAGATGGGAGTGGAATAATTTAAGAAAATAATATGAGACCCTAGATTCTTAAAAGTCTAATGAGAGACATATCTAACTTTACATTTTACTTCACAGTAGTTACCAAAACTTTCCCACGATAGAAAAAATTTTTAAGAACTCAAATGTTTGGAATTAACAAAGGTGAAAAGTATCCAGAAAGCACAAAACCATTATTTTAAAACCAATAATATGTAAGATAAAATGACAAGGAAAAAGTAGTTTTTAGAAATAGAATTTTAGTATTAATTCTTTACTAATCCTTGTATATGTGTTCATGTACACTTTTATATACATTCATGTTTAATTCTAAGATAATGAACACTCTAAGTTAATGAACTATATTCCCTTTAGTTAAACCAAGCTAATAATATGAGCAATTTTGAGTATAAATTAAGTTTTGAATTAAATAAATATGTATACAATATCCTCATGGATGTAATACATAATTCATTAAAACATAGGTTGAAAATATATTAGACTCTTTAATATAATTTGTTCTTAATTATCCTAGTCAGTGAGGGAGCAGCATTAAGTGTGGCTAATAAGCTATTGAATCATCTAGAATTCATTCATACAGAAGTTGCTTTCCTGGTTGTAAAGGGTTAGCTTTGCATCCTGATAGGTAAAGGAACAGTTGCATGTCTTAGACCAAAGTTTCCATTCATAGATAACTCAAAAGCTGATAGTCACCAGGGTGGCGCACGCCTTTAATCTCAGCACTCAGGAGGCAGAGCCAGGCGGATCTCTGTGAGTTTGATGCTAGCCTGGGCTACCAAGTGAGTCCCAGGAAAGGCGCAAAGCTACACAGAGAAACCCTGTTTCAAAAAACCAAAAAAAAAAAGCTGATAGTCCAGGGATAAGTAATCAATTTAGGATTTTAGTGAGCATGGGGGATTTTGTGTATTATTGCCAAATTATGTTTCTGCTACCAATCCCAATCAGTAGGCGATGAGGAAAGAGAACTGAAAGGAAGTGACTTACAATGATACATGTTGGAACTTCCCGGAGAGAATATTCGGCTTTATTGGGAAGTTCTTGATTGCCGGTTAGCTCATACACAGCAGGGTAAGACAGCAGGTTCACCAGCGCTAGGAAAGACTAGGGGAGAGGAAGAGACATTGAGATAGCTCATTTTATTTTTAATACTGCACAGAAAGAGTCGCTCGTATAAATGCTGCAGGCCTCATGAATGTCTGAGAGCTAATTTTTAAAATAAATCTATTGTCAGTGTGAGACATCTACCCACAATAGGTTAAAAAATAATAAAAATAGCAATAGTCTGAGAGCTTAGAATGCTAAAATAGCAACTGTTAAGGAGCATGTGTAAGAGTTAGAAAACATTTCAAAATGATATGCAATTCCCAAAGTTAGATTCTGATGAAAAAGCTCCTGCTTTCTCATTCCTTATACTATTATAACCAAGAAAATACAAGAGAGTAACACCCTAAGTCAAGATAACAAGGTCTATATATTCTCAAGCTTAGTCCATAAGATTGTTTTTAATATACTCAATGAAAATCAGAATAACCTAGACATCATAATTTTCAAAAGCCATGGTCTTCTCATGAAAGACAGCTCCTTTGTCCCGGTCTGACCACACCAAGCTCACCTCTCCACAGTGCCTGTGAGCCAGGTCCGCCTCTCCGTGACACTTGTCTGACCATACCAAGCTCACCTCTCCACAGCGCCTGTGAGCCAGGTCCGCATCTCCGTGACTTTTCGGCTTCACCTGCTTAACAGCAACTCAGATCTATTTCCCGCACAAATTCCATTCTTAGCTCCTAGCTCAGAAGCATTCCATGGGCAGCCATCATTAGACAGCAGGAAGTCCAAATGTTTTAGATGACTTTCAGGGCACTTCACTCTCTCCTTCTGTGTCTCAAAAGCCTCATTTCTCACCGTTCTCCACTATGAAGTCACGTGGCCTCCTTCAACTGACTGCCACCTACACAGACTTCTCTTGTCCTATTAACGTGCCCCACCTGCCCTCAACTGCACTACAAAAGTGTGTCCCTTTCTTTCTAGTCAACTCCATCATCTTCCTGAAGTCCTACACACTTCCTAGTTGATATATTGTTTGTAGTTCCTTGTAAGCTTTGTGTGCTGCTTAACAGTTTGATCTTTTAAATATCCAGTAGGTTGAAAATTTATGAATCAGATATTTCACTAAACGAAAAATAAAAATTTGAGAAAAATTAAAAAAAAAACTACTTGATTTGATTTCTCATTAATAGATAAGAAAACTTGAGGTTGTGATAAAAACCTTGACTAATAACACATTTTGTACAAGAACAAAACTATGTTTTCTTTTTTTCTGGCTAAGGTTTCTTTTGCAAATGAAAACATGACTGTCAGATACTATTTAACAGAGATAGCCACTGTCTAGTCATTGTTTGTGAATAGGAAAAGTAGAGTCCACTTCCTATTTCCTTCTTTTATACTCGGCGGAGTGATACTTAACAAATTACAGTGGCTATATGGTGAACATATACAGCACATGGTGCTTTGTAGCAATTGTATTTCTGGATAAAAATTGAGCATGCATTAAGTTTAAGCTGTGTCCATATTCCCCCACCAGATACAACCTCTTAAAATAAAGATGAACTTTCTTACCAACTCTAACAGCAATATCCAGGATTTAAACCTGATATACATTAGCATAACAGTAAAATTACCAAATAATAAGTGTAAAGGTTCAGTTAAAATGTACAGAGCATGTCTGGTTAAGAGAATCCTATGCAGGCATACGATCACTCTAGATGAGTGTAGTAAAGAAAAGGGGAAGGCTGGCTGCTACCAAGGAAAGCATGCTAGAGAAGTATGTCTCTAAATTACCATGAAAGGAACTGCAAGGAAACGACAGGGTTTGTGACCACCAACCCAACAACTGCGCAAACAAATCCACCAACCAAGTGGGTGTTAAGTAGAAAGATGATTTTCAGATCTCAATAGAACTTTTAAAAATGCATCTTAATATCCAGAGAATATATCGAAGGTAACATGCTTTAAACATTTCATGATATTAATCCAGTAATGTTTAGATGTAATAATAAATAAATCTCTTCTCTATAGTAATAGATTACAAGTACAATTGATAAATTGAATAAATATCCACTTTGTTAAGAAATAGATTGTTTATGAGTCATATTGTAGCATATTGAGGGTTTCTTACCATTTATACAGAATAGCTCCACTCATGTTTATAGAATCTCACTTCTAAGAAATATAATTCTGTTGCTAGATAGTTGGAATAATTACTGATATGCTACTCTAAGCAAATTAAGTAGAGCTTCAGATGAAAACAATCCAATGACTGTATTTGAAAACAAATAACCTGCATACAATTTTAAAGAGACTTGAGAAGATTTCAGTAGATTACCACAAGAGCAAACAAACCCATTTCTCATGCACTAGGCATTTTTAAAGGCACTTAGCAAATTATAAAACTGTGATGTATTAAGCATTCATGGAACTGAAAATATTTTCAATGCAATCATCAGTTCCCAGAAAAGTACATTAAATGTGTTTGTGGCATCAGACACAATCCTAAAATTGAAATAGCACAAAACATCTATCTACTTATCAGTGTTTAGGAACAACAAAGTTTTATGTAATAATGCTAATGAAATGAGAAGGTCTAGAGGTTAATAAATTTTAAAACTGGCATTTCAAGCTTAGAATTAAAGTAACAAACTTCTTATGAACGAAAACTTACAGGTTCATAATGACTACACACTCAAAATATTTTAATGTCAGTTGCCTATAGTAGTTGTGGCAGATGCCAATTAAAATATGAATGAAGCAACAGTCTCTGTCCTACAGGACAGGAAACACTGTGAGGTCATTCCATTCAGTACTGTAAATGGCGTGGAGGTGCTGTGCTCTGGAGAAAGGTCAGAGGTGATGCAGAGGATTATACTACAAGGCAGAATGAGGAGGTAGGGGGTGTGGCTCAAAGAGAGATAGCCTGAAAGGATGCAGAGATGTGCTATGTTAATAAGATCCATCCCCAATGCTAGGGGAAAAAAAAGGAACACTGCTTTCAGAAAATTAGTACAAATTATCCTTTATACTTTAGAAAGAAAGAAAGAATTTGGAAAATAATTTAGGTGGTAGACAGTATTAGGAAGTATGAAACTAATTTTGATTTTGAAGTTTCAGGAGACAGAGTTAGTCCTCTTTTTTCAAGACTCTTAGGAACAAATCAGAAAGTGATTCAGGAAGGTGATCTCAAGTGTGGAAGTGTTAACCCATGGTAGAGAACATGTTTAGTCTGTACAACACCCTGGGCTCACTCCCCACCGCCAAGAAAACATGGGGATAGCCAGTTGTTTTCTGAATGGATTTAAGGTCCACTCCACAGAAGACTCATGCCTGGTACTGTAAGCCTGGCCAGAAACCTGGGGCTGGGAAGTCACAGGTCTTAAGGAAGAACCTGCCATGATTATTTTGCTAAGTGGATATACTATCAAACTGCTTTCTAAATACTTACTCTTGTTTTGTATCTCTCTCTCTCTGTTTTAAGATACTTTTAAAATTTTCTCTGTATGTATCTGTGTCTGTGTCTATGTTAGTGCATGCCATGTATGTTCAGGTGCCCACAAAAACCAGAAAAAACTGGATCCCCCAAAGCTGAAGTTATAAGTGGTTGTAAGCTACCTGACATTGGGGCTAAGAATCAATCTACAGTCATCTAAAAGAGTTGTGCATTTCCTTTCTCAATATTTCATCTTTAAAATTTTTTTGTCTAAGATTTATTTATATTATTTATTTACTGGCTTGCATGTATGTGTGCCATATGTGTGCCTAGTGTACTCGGAGGTCAGAAGAAGTATCAGATTACCCGGAACGGAGTTATAGACAGTTATGAACCACCCATGTGGGTACTAGGAACCAAGTCCAGATCCTCTGGAAGAGCAGGAAGAGCTCTTAACCACCGAGCCAGCTTTTAACGTTATAGGCTATATCTCTCTGCACTGCTTTTCCGTGGTTTCTTAAGGAAATGTTGGTCAATAGGACTTCCGGGAAGCGGCATGTAATCTGAGCTGCTCGATACTGGAGAACACCAATAAGCACCTGTGCTTCTGAACGAGGAAGACATGATTACTACAACTAACTAAGATTATTATCAACATTTTGTTTTTTGAGACTTTTCTTGCATGCATACAATGTATTTTAATCACACTCACGAACCACTCCTCTCCCCTAACTCTTCCGAGGTCAGCGCCCCCACAACTTCCCCTCATCTATGTACATGTCCTTCCTATTTAACTTACTGAGTCCCTTTTGTGCAGCCCATATATTCATGGGTGTGGCGACATCCACTGGCTCAACCTAGCCGAGGCCACACTTAGGGAAGCAGACGCTCCCTTCCCCAAAAGCTGGCAACTGTCAACAGTTCCTCACAGGGTGGGGGCTCATGAGCCTCTCCCTCCTCCCCCTTGAACGTTCACTGGCTTAGTATTGTGCAGGCAACCAGAGCTACTGTGAGTTCATGGGTACACTGATCCCGTCCCATCTGGATGATGCTTTCTCTCAGGAACTAACTGACCTCTGGGGCTCTTAGATCTTTCTGTCTTGTCTTCTGAAACAGTTTCTGAGCCTTGGGAGGAAGATTTTTTATTTACTATGTATTTAAATAGCAGCCTCAGGACTACTGTCTACCATAGGCACATCTGAAGAGACAGAGTGGAGAGATGCAAGAAAGGGACTGGAGTTCAAACACAAGTTTTAACGGATTTGCTATATGTTGAGACTGTAATTATATACTAACTGTAATTTAAAGTAGAATCAAAAGTGCAAAGAATCCTTGTGGAATAACTGAGCTCTCAAGCTGGGTGTGAGAGTTGTTTAAAACTATGAATTGTCATTTGTTGTATATTTTAATATATAAGTTAGGAAAATATACAATGTTTCAGGAGAAAAATTCAACCTGTTATACTGATACTCGCAATTTAAAGTGAAATAACTTGAATAAAATTCCAATAACCTTGAACTTGCATTAGAAATAGTTCATGCAGATTTACAACTTATAATAGCGTGCCAATTTATGTCATACATGAAGGACACTGCAAACGTGGAGAGTCATATAATAACGTGTCCAACTTTCACACTAAGGGGGACACATACTCTACCTCTGTAGACTCACCTATCTGCAATGCCCTCCTCCTCTCTGGAAAATCCAAACTTCCACCTAGAGACCTTCCTTTAGCATACCTGATGGGCAAGAGTGATGGCAGCAGTTTCTTCTGCCATTAGCCAAAAGTCTCTTCACTTTCATTGCTGAAGACTATTCTGCTGGATGCAGAACTGTGCATTGATTCTATCTTTTTATCTTTTCCTCTCAGCACAATAAAATGTTACATTGCCTTCTGGCCTCCACGACCTCTAATGCAGTGTGTGGTGGTTTGAAGAGTTATGGTCCCCTTGGACTCATGTGTTTGAATGTTCGGCCCCCAGGGAGTAGCACTATTAGCAGGTGTGGCCTTGTTGGAAAAAGTGTGTCATTGTGGAGACATGCTTTGAGGTCTCCTATGCTCAAGCTATACCCAGTGTGGTACACTCCTTCCGCTGCTGTGGATCAAAATGTAGACCTCTCAGCTCCTTCTCCAGCACCATGTCTGCCTGCATGCCGCCATGTCCAACCATGATGATAATTGTCTAAACCTCTGAAACTGTAAGCCAGCCCCAATGAAATGTTTTTCCTTTATAAGAGTTGCTGTGGTCATGCTGTCTCTTCAAAGCAATGGAAGGCATAACTAAGACATGGTGCTAGCAAACTGTTCTACTGTATGCTACATATAATATTGATTTTCTACAGCTCCTTCCAAAATGTGGCATTATCTTTGTTTTAAGTAGTTCATCACAAGCCGCAGTGTGGTTTCTCTCATATTTTCATTTTACATAGTCTTTCTTGAGTTTCACTAAGTTTCTCATCTATAATCTTTCAAAAACGTTGGTGACTTATCTACTGTTTAGGCAAATATTGTTCTTTCCTGTTCTCTTGTTTCTAGCCTTCTCATTGCAAAAGCTAAAACTAGCAATATGACATAATTTCAAAATCAACTAAAGGCTCTCCCCACCCATGCTCTTCAAATTTTATGACTCCCGTGGACCTGTCAAAGTTTACTATTTGTGATGTTATGCTTAAATCTTCTGTTAAGCCCACTTTGAAATTTCTATTTCTGGTTAGTTTTTTAATTCTAGAATTTCCATCTGTTTCTTTATATGGCTATAGAGACCTATTTGTTCATTGACTCTAAGTTTCCATTATGTCCTGTCCTTGTAAAATAGTCCACCTTTACTTCACAATAAATTTTAGTCAGCTGGCTTTTTTCCTGAGTATGGGTCACAGTTTTTAAATTCTTCACAAGTTTAGAAATTCTTAGTTGCTTTCCTTGCTTTGGGTGCATATATTATATGGATTCTAGATTGTGTTATACTAACATAAAGAATACACATAGTTTTATTATTATTAGTTAGCATATAAATTAATGGGTTTTGTCAGAGTACAAGCAGAATACATTATATACATGTATGAAATGGTCAAATAACAAAATTAGTAAATAAATAAAATGTTTTCATTATAAAACTTTCATACATGTACAACATGTACTTTGTTAATACTCCCATAATTATCTTTTTGTCAATCTCCACTCCCACCAGCACCCTCTCTTTCACTAGTCACCACTCTGTTTATATATATATTATATATATATGCATGTATGTGTATATGTGTATATATATGTATGTATGTATGTATGTGTATATGTGTATATATGTATATTTAAATTGCACACACATATAAATCTAGGTTCTGAACGTAAGAGAAAATGTATCTGTTTTGAGTCTAGCTGATTTGGTTAACATGATCACCAACTCCATCCATTCCCCTGCAATTAACCTCATTTTCTTTATGAAGCAGAGAAACACCATTGTGCATACACACATTCATTCCATTCACTGGCTGATAGATGCTTATGCTGATCCCACATCTCGGCTACTGTGGACAACTGTGATAAACATGGACAAGCAGGCAGCAGCATGGAGTAGCTGCATCATACAGTGGTTCTCGTTCTGGTCTTCCTAGAAACCCCCATAGTAACTGACATAATATCCACACTAATTTATACCCCAACGAGTATAACGTTTCCTCTTGCCTTGTATCCCTGACAGCATTTGTTGGTTGATTTATTTGTACACATTTTGACTAAGGTGAGATGGATTCTCAGTGTGGTTTAATTTGTATTTTCGTAAGGGCTAAAGATGTTGAATTTTTTTTTATAAATTTGTTAGTGTATTTTTGCTTTCTTTAACAACGATCTGTTCATTAGCCTGTTACTGACTGGATGATGTGGCTTTGGGGGGTTTTAAATTCTGGAGTTCTTTATATACTCTAGACATTGACCTCTGTTAAGACACAAAGCTGGTAACGATTTTCTCTTTAATCTTTGCTTGTTTCCTCTACTGTTCAGCTTTTAAATTTCATGAGTTCCCATGTCAGCTGGGCGGGCAGGCTAGTAAGTCCCAGTTATTCACCTGTTTCCACCTCCCCAGTGCTGGACTTACGATCACGTGCCACTATGCCTGGTGTGGGGACTTTGGCTTGGGGTTTGGAGGGGTTTTGTTTTAGTGTTTGGGTTTTGTTGGTTATTGTTTTAATTTTTAATTTTTTTCATTTATTTATTCATTTGGAGTTAGGGTCAGGGATGCCACAGCATGTACGTAAGATCAGAGAACAGCTTGTGAGAATCAGTTCTCTCCCTTACCATGTGGGTTCTGGGGGTCAAACTCAATCAAGCTGGCAACAAATATATTAAACTATGAGCTATTCCACTAGCCTGTTCTTTGTTTGCTTTTAATGTACGTTCTAGGGCCCAAACTTGGGTCCTTGTGCTTACAAAGCAAGTGCTTCACCAACTGATGTATCTACCCAGCCTCAGAAGAAAAGATTTGTTTGGAAGCTGATTCTCAGCATACTCAGCACTAGTATACAGAAGGTCAATTTCTTGAACAGTTATATGGGCTGGATTCAAAATCAAGTAATGTGGTAAGCAGCACAGTTACTATAGTTTACAGGAGTAACTCATAGTTTGTTACATCTGTTTGTAATACCCATTTTGTGACCCTGTTTTCTCCAGGCTCCTAACTCCATCTTCAGCTGCCAAATAACCCTAAGCTTGGAATTCCATTCTACTAGCTCTCTAGACTGTAAGTTTCCATCCAGAGAACATCAATGGGTACTTTTCCTAAAGTTAAAATCTGGAGCCAGGCAGGGAGGCAGAAGCATTTGGTAGGCAGAGGCATGTGAATCTCAGAGCACTCAAGGCCAGCCTGGTCTACATAGAGAGCTCAAGGCCAGCCTGGTCTACAAAAAGCAACCCTGTCTCAAAATAACTACCTGTTAAATAGAGACTGTGAAGGAGGAGCACCCCACAAGTCATTGTCCCCCACTTACTGCCTACTTTTGGGCCCTCAACATTTTAACCACTTCATTTTTAAGTTATTTTCTAATGTTCATGTTTTGTACAAGAGTGAATTAGCCTAACATCCCAGAAAAAAAAAAAAGGAACTGCTGAAATTGTAGGTAAAGGGGAGTTCTTTAAATAATTTTATGGCATCATTACACTAAAAATTGTTCAGGCTTCCACTGCAGGGAATCATTACTTCAACTAAAAGAAATTAGGAGACTACATTACACAGAGGAAAAGCCATTGAATTTTAACAGAATAGGGGGTAAGCACTTTTCCAAATTTTTTGCTGCACTCTAGCTAAGATCATCTTCCCTCTGCCTTCTCTCCTGTTCACTCCATCCAAACAACTTCCATCAGATGCAAGACCAAGGGAAAATGCTTCCTGAACTTCCGTGGTGTTGGTTTGTGTTTGTTTTGGGGACACATTGTTTTAAGTGACATGACTTGGTGTGCTATTACCCTTTATTAGGAAAGAAAAATACATAATAATAACAAGAAAGAAAAGTATCTTTCCAACATATTTTCCAACAGCTATTGGTATGTTACAGTTCAGTAAATTTACTTTATAATGAAAAATATTTTTAGGTATTAAATGAGAGAAGGTCCACTTAAGAAAGTTAGGCAGGAAGTGGTAGCGCATGCCTTTATCCCAGCACTTGGGAGGCAGAGGCAGGCAGATCTCTGAGTTCAAGGCAAGCCTGGATCTACAGAGCGAGTTCCAGGACAGCCAGGGCTATACAGAGAAACCCTGTGTCGAAAGACAAACAAACAAGAAAGTTTGCTGCTTATAAGTGACATAAGTCAGGTTTCCATGGAGTCATCTCTTGCAATACACTTCAAATCTATGCATTATTTCATCACACATCTTCTTACCTTTTGACAGCTTCGGTCAATAGGATCCACTGGAGTAGCTCTAGGATGAGTTACCCTTACATCATCTCTTCCACATTCAAGATTGGACCATAACTCAGTTATCAGTGCACTAATGAAGCCTAGGAAGAAGTATTACTTATGTCATATTTATAGCATAATTTATATTATGGTATAAAATAGTATAGTCTGGCTTATGGGAGACAGGATTATTCTTATGAAAAGACTTATTTACTCTCACAGAGGAAAAACATTTGCATCTTTCAAAAATAATAGTGTAATCTCTACCCTTGATAGAAGTGGTACTTGATATTGTTACTAAATGTTTATTATATCCCAACACCCTGCACTGTTAAATAAATCAGGGAAAGAAAGAAAATTTCCCTGGAGATTGTAAAGAATGTGTTCAGGAGTTGGAGGAAGAGAAAGGAGTCACCAACAAGTCGGGCAGGCATCCAAAGAATATGCTCACTTAATCTAACATTTATAATTAGATTATAATTATATCATTTATAATTCCATGTTTCAAACGATTCTGAAGTTTCCTCCCATGCAGCCTTTAAATTCTGAGTAAAACACTAAATGAAAATGAATATTAAAGCTGATATTAAATTTTTCAAATCATATACTGTATATAAAAACCTAACATCTAATCATAAAGTCAGTATGCCTTAATTCCTGACCACATTCTAAGTATGTGTCCTTATACCCACAGATAAGTCCTCACCACCCTCCAAGGAAAGTTCTCTTTCTGACAGATGGAGACTGTCACAGAGAGTCACAACACATCAAAATGCAGGGTGGTGAGCCCCATCCCAACTAATGCATCCACAACACAAATCCCACACCCAAGGCTCAAGAAACACAGAGGAGAGGGTGCTGAGATGGTAAGAATCCGAGGTCAGGGGGTTTGCTGTTAGATTGTGTCTCCCAGTTCTGTTGAGAGTTACGCCCATAAAATCTACCAACATCACTGTCTAGACATGAGCTGACAAGGACAACAACAAGGTGACAAAGTGGACAGGAGGGAAGCCTAGGGGAGCTGCCACCCTACACTAAGAACTGCAGGCCACTAAGGAATGCTAAGAGCAGGAGAATATTCTTCCCCAGAGTGGAGCACACCAATGTATTATCCAACACCAAAGGGTCAGTCAGCCCTAAGAGCATACGAGTAACATTAGAGAGACTGAGCAGACTGTACTTATGATCTTAGGGATGGATAGGAATATACATATATGTATGCAACAACAATGGAAAACAAGGCCACTAATTTTAAAGAGAGCAAGGGGTATCTGAGAAGGCTTGCAGGAAGGAAAGGGAAGGGGGGAGATAATGTAATTTTATTAAAATATCAAAAACCAAAATAAGTTTACGACAAACCAATATGCTTATAACAAAACAAGAGAAGTGTTTTCTGGCACAACTAAAAAAAAAAATGCAGGCTCTAAAACTGAGGATACTGGGGTCTAATTTAAGAGACTAATTTAAGAGTTTATTCATTAGTTTGCATGAACTGGGGGTGAAAGTCCCTCATCTTCAGAGCCCAGGGAATTCTGGTAACTGGAGGTGAACGTCCCTCATCTTCAGAGCCCAGGGAATTCTGGTATTTGAGAATGGAGATTCCAGAGTTTCCACCATGTACAAATGGGACAATGCACGTAATGTAATGCCAATGCAGCTCCTGCAATGTGAGTAACGTAAGCTCAGGGATCTGGAGTCGTCCTTTGACCTGTGTAGAATTTTCATCTCAAGAAAAGTTGGAGAGGATGGGGTTCAAATGCTTAACTACTCAATGACAAGTAAATCTGGCATGAAATCTAGCCTTCAAATGGATCTATTAATATATTCCTTTCTCCAGTGCTACCTAGATTTATCCTAAGTAGAAGAGAAATGTGCTCCAGCTCAGGGCCGGTTTTTTCAAGGAACATATACACATAGAGCCCAAATTGGTTGAGCAAAAACTAAAATATAGCAAAATATTTTGGTTTAAGTAGTGAGCCAACAGTGATCAGTGATGCTGATATAATTTATCACCTCCAACTGGAAATTCCTCTGCTATATCACTAATTATGTGATGCTCAGTAAACTAAACATGGGCATACTACAATCACGGTGGCTAACTTTCCTACAGATCCAATTGACAGCAGAGAATATATACGGAGGGCAAACTTCAAAGAGTATGTGAAGGCTACAGAGTGAGGGGATGCTCTCTAGAGGGCAGGGGAATGATGGGAACAAGACAGTGGTACAGATACGTGACAACTATGCTGACTGGACATTTGGATGCACATCCAAGTCTACTAAACCAAACACTGGGCCATTCTGTCAGGGAAAATTAATTACACCAAGACAGATGACATTCTTTAGGTTTATAAGGTGAAGAGGGATTCTTTAATTGAATAAGCTTTAGTACAGATCATTAGGTACCACTGTTCTAAAAAAAAAAAAAAGGTACGATAAGAGTCTCTACATGTCATAGGAAAAATAATCACCAATGTAATTTCATCAAAAGCAAAGACAATCCTGTAAACTTTCTTGTTCACAGTCACAGACTGGAAAGAAGAATTTTAAAATCAAAAATATTCCGGAACTTTGTCATGCTATTATTCATTTCATTAACAATGGTCACATTTTATTTATGAGGGAGAAAAAAAAAAAACTTGCCTGAATTTTGTAGTGCTACTGCCCCTGCTGCTGTGGATGCCACCTGTACAACCAAAACTTCATGGTCAAACTTCTTCTGCCTGTTAATCTAACATAAAGAATGCAATGAGAAACAAAGACCATAGCATGCTGTCATACGCAATACACACTTAGCTGTACAGCTACTTACTGCTCTTTAACAACCAGAAGACTAGAAATGTTGTGGTGATATATTGTTTGTATATACTGTTTGTAAGCTAGGAAATAAAGCTTGCCTGAAAATCAGAGGACAGAGCTAGCCACAGACTTCCTCTAGGTCAGGAAGTGGTGGCACACACCTTTAACCCTAGCACTTGGGAGGCAGAGGCAGAGATTCATCTGGATCTCTGTGAGTTCAGGCCCACGCTGGGCTACAAGAGATTAAGTCATTCTAAAAGAGAAACAGCCAGGCAGTGATGGCACACACCATTAATACCAGCACTAGGAAGGTTGAGACAGAAAGTGATATGGCTGGGCAGAAAAAGGAATATAAGGCAGGAGGAGACCAGAACTCTGGCTCTTTCAGGCTGAGGAGTTGGTGAGGTAAGAGGTGGTGGCTATGGCTTGCTCTGCTTCTCTGATCTTTCATCTTTCACCCTGATATCTGGCTCTGGGTTTTTATGAGACCAATTAGGATTCATGCAACAAAATTTCCTTCAGGTGATAACAGCAGAAAAACAAACATCACTACCCTCACAGTGAATTAGTACTAATGTGGTATTTTTAGCCATTTTATTTCTCATCTGAGTTTAATCCTAGCTCACTGACTTTCACAAGTCACTTAGTAAGGTGCTGAAGAGATGAGTCCACAGTTAAGAGCACATACTACTCTTGCAGAGGACCCAAGTTCGGTTCCCATATTTCAGTTCAATTCGGAGCATCCATATCTAAAGGCTCACAACCACCTACCAGTCTAGCTCCAGATGGCCCAACACCTTGGCCTCCGTGGACAACTGAACTCATACACATAAATACACATGGTTAAAAATAAATATTTTTGAAGAGTCACTTATAACTCCTGACCTTTTTCTCATAAATAAAAGGACTTATTTCTCATAAAAGGGGCTTAGATCAAAAAAAAAAAAATAGGACAGCTTCCAGCTCTAAATTCTATCATACTATTATTACTAAATTGTATCATCCTATTATTACTTTATAAGCTACTTCTTCATTTATAACCTTTTACTGCCAGATTCTTAAATGGATTTTTAAGAAATCAAAACAAAACAAAAACTAAAAAAAAAAAAAATATGATACTTTCTCCTTAAAAAATAGCTATTTCTAGAGGATTCAATTTTTGTTCCTAAGGAAGAGCTGCCCAATCCTAAACATCAACCCATCTGTTTCTGTGTAAAAGTCCTTCAGAATTTGTCACTTTACAAAGAATAAACCTACTTGAGGTAAATACAGAAGGAAACCTATCCCGTCGTATTAATCAGCATAAGGAGGTGAAGTGGCATTATAATACACCTATCAGATTTTGCGGCCTATAAGATGTCCAACTTCCAAACGGAGTTAACCATTCAGAATTCCTACTTTAGAACATGTCATTAAAAGCACCTGGTTTAAATGAATGGAAACACATGAACTATGAACCAAAGGTTGAGGGACCCCCAGCTGGATCAGGCCCTCTGAATAGGTGAGACAGTTGATTGGCTTGATCAGTTTGGGAGGCAACTAGGCAGTGGGACCAAGTCCTGTGCTCAATGCATGAGGTGGCTGTTTGAAACCTGGAGCTTATGCAGGGACACTTGGCTCAGTCTGGGAGGAAGGGACTGGACCTGCCTGGACTGAGTCTACCA